CTAGACGTTAAGTCATAGTACGTAGTCTTAAGAGACATAACCGACACATTTAATAGGTCTAATCATGGAAGGACCTTTCTAACGTATCTCATAAGTCCCGCATTTAATGCTCATTTGTGTCCACGTCTCTTCAGTTTAATTCCTATCACTGCCACATAGTTATCCATTTGTAGATGGCTTGCCACGTAAGTCCTAGAGTGAGTCCAACATTGATTGAATCCCGTTCGAGCTCATGACTTGTTGAACAGGTCAGCCTAGATATGGGGTCCCCACACGGGCCATGACCCCCTGTTAGGCCCAATTGACTCTATTTATTAATTCCGAGCAATGGGCTGTGTTTATTAATCCCGAGTAATGGGCTTTAATTGTTATCCATAATTGGGGTATGGTCACACTCCATAATACTTATCACTTAGTATGATATTAATGTATGTGTACATATCATCATCATCATTATTATTATTATTATTACAATTATCATCATCATCATAAATATTATCATAATAATTATTATCTGAATGTTTCCGATCTAACCTCCGAACTCCAGTTTATATAATTGCAACATTTTTCGCTTGCAGATGAGGTTGTCCTTTATGTTACTCCCTCTGTCTCATTTTATCTGTCTTACTTTCCTTTTTGGGTTGTCTCAAAATAAGTGTCACATTTTTTTGAGAAGAAATATGTGATCTACTACATTTCACTTTATATGAACTGAAATGTTAGATTTGAGAATTGTGCTTCATTTGAAATAAAAATTTGTGCTATAATAAATAAAAAATGTTGTGACATTTTTGTAAAAAATCAACCTTTCTTATCCTTGTAAAGTCTGAATTACTTTAACTATAAGTGTATTGTTCACCCCATTAAAAATCATGTGCATTTTAACATCATGAGAAAGTTAGACGACCCAAGCTATGAAATTGGGGAGTGCTAACCCATTTAACAACGTGAACATAAATTGTGAACTATAAATAAATATGAGGAAAAAAATGAATCCTTTAGAGATTGATTTAATAGACCTTGTGAAGACATGTGCAGCTATTAAAAAATAGTTTATCTAGCTAATGTTGAAATGAAAAGTAGGGACTTAATGTAAGAATGATTTAGAACTACATATGCATTATAATATTTGGAGCTACATAAACTTAGTGAACGAAAGAAAAAGGATATGTCGGAGAAAATTAATTAGACGAAAGATGTAGTAATTATCATATTTTGGAAACAAATAAGAATTTTTTGTATAAAACACCCCGAATATGGGAGAATCTCCAAGAGTTTAGGCAAAAAGAAATAGAAGTAATATTTTTATTTTAAGAGTGGCTAACAATTGTTAAATATTTTTATTTTTGAGTACTTGGATCTTGTAATACCGGCGAGTGCAAAATTTTACCTAATTTAATATTGAACATTATAACACATATATACACATATATTAATATAAAAACATATCTATAATATTGGGGTACATAAGAGTAGAGTTATGGAAGTTGAATAGTTTTTTCTTTAATTTATTGTCTTGCCACATGTCATTTTTTTATACAAAGGATGTTGCCACATGTCAACAATTCCTCTAAAGAGTTCCTCAGGGGTTTGCTTTATTATATTACATAGATAGATAAGCTTGCATGTAGCTCTTTACTTTTGCATTAAAAATTATTTCAACTTAAGCAATACATTTTAAAAGTTGAGGCTTCTAACTTAAGGCAAATTTACGATTAAAAAGAAAAACTTAAGGCAAATTGATGCCGACCCTAATGCATATTTATTTAACTTATTTTTGTAAATTTTCACTTTTTTTTTTTTGTTTTTATGCAGATACTATATGCGTAATGTGTTGCCAAATTAAAACATTACTACATGTATATGCTAGACACAAATATATTGGGCATCACTAAACCGCGCGTTGGGCGTTACAAAACTAGTAATTAAACAAAAATGAAACACATTACACATACCCTTATGCGAAAAACTTGGTACTTTCCTCAAAAAATATGAGGCTGTGTAATTGAATTTATGGAATTGAGACCAATCATTCCTACCAAAATCATTACCTCAATATACTCAAGTTATTTTGAATTGTTTATGAGATAACTCTTTCAGTGAACAATTTTCTTTGGTTTATCGGTCAAAATTCATACCAAACAATAAGCGCTAGCAAAAAAAAAAAAAAATTTGCACATTAATTTGTGTAATAATAATAAAACAAGCTTGGAAATATTCTCGGATTGAATTGATTGAATAAGATAATTCAGCTTTTTTAATATGCCAAAACCAATCGAAACATTTTAGTTATAGTTTCAATCACCTTTAGTGAAGTACTTTTCGTACTTAACTTGCGAGCAATTTTAGTTTTTTTTCTTAAAAAAATCATTAGAATACTGCATTCTCTTAATAAAGTATGTACTTATTTCGTTCCAAAATCAGACATTTAGCCACCTTCAATCGCCACATACAATAGTTTTGTTCAACTTTGTTTTACATACGTTCCAAATTCAACTAATTGGAGTAATTAATAGTATCTTCAATAACAAACTATTTGCTCTATAGAAGTATAGATCGACTAGTGAGTTGTGAACGTCAGGTATTTAACCGTTGCAGTATTAGTATGAATTTTTGTAAACAAAATTCGAACCCCACTTTAGATAATTGCTTAACCAATCAAATATACTTTTGAAAGTAAATATACTCTACAAATTGTGAGCCATTTTTTCAATCTTACATCTAAACCCTTCATTATATTTTAACATTTTTAAGTGTTAGAGATGCTCTATAATCATATAGTTGCATTTGTCTCTAAGCACACATTCTTTCACTCAAATACAAGATTGTGTCATAGATGCATATAACATTTTGTGTGCTACAAAATCCGTATGTAGTCCAAACTAGGGGTGGACCCGGGCCGGGCCAATTCCAGTTCAGGCCTAGGCCCAGCCGGACTTTTATTTGGAAGGGTAATTCTATTTACAACATTTTATTTACTAATCACAGCCACAAAATTAAATATTAATTAATTTAATACAAATATCCAAATTACCCTGATTAATACTAAACTCCGTAACACTTTAACCACCGTTAAACGAGGCCTACCGCCTACACAAATCGATACACTTCATTCAGCGAAAAAGCCAAAGAATTGTATCAAAAAAAAAAGCCAAAGAATTGCGGCAAGAATAAGTTTTTGTATGTATAGCAAACAAGCCGAAATCATTTTTAATCCATTTGAATACATCTACAGATTCATTAGGAACAATTCTTTTTGTTATCTGATAACATGGATAAAATGGAGCAAATTAAAAGATTAACACATTGTTTCCATCCATGTTAAGAATTAAGATGGAGTGACGTTAAGGGCCGTTCACAGTTAACAGGTCGCATCTCGTGCAGCACGAACCAGCTAAAGATAGATCTGGAATGGAATGAAAGAATCGTTCGTCTGCTCTATTTAGGCTTGCTGTCGACGAAGAAATGGAGAGACGAAGGGTAAGAACGTTTCAACTTGCTGGTGAAGAAAAATTGTAATCGACGGAAAGGGTTGTGGAAATGGAAAAAATTGGGAGGGATAAGGGTCAGTTTGGTCCTCGAAGTTGCAAAAAAGGGTCAAATAAGTCCTTATATAGAAAATTCTGTCCGGACGTGCCATTTGAGGTGGCTCCCAGTGGAATTTTTTGATGAAATTTTTTTAGCATCTTATTCATTAAGTCTAGTTTACTCATACCAAATTTCAGATAAAAATTCAATCGGGAAAACATTCAAATGAATTCTTGAAAATAACTGTGTCGTTAAAAGCGCAGTTATCTTCAAGAATTCATTTGAATGTCTTCCCGATTGAATTTTTAGCTGAAATTTGGTATGAGTAAACTAGACTTAATGAATAAGATGCTCAAAAAATTTCATCAAAAAATTCTACCGGGAGCCACCTCAAATGGCACGTCCAGACAGAATCTTCTATATAAGGACTTATTTGACCCCTTTTTTGCAACTTCGAAGACCAAACTGACCCTTTACTCGAAAAAATTAGACTCCGTCCTAAGCAAAGATTCATCTAGAGCTCATTGGGGCTTCTTAATTCTTATTCCGTTCAGCAAGACAGTAAGGTTATAATTGGATTTAAAAAAAAAACGTATGTCATGGGAGAATAAGTGTGTATCGGGCTATCAATAAAATCACCCTATTTGGAAATGATGGAACCGGTACCGGCCCGAGTAGACAGCAGTTCCGGGCTGGGCCCAAACAGTACCGGGCCGGGCAGGTTCCGGTTCGGGCATAATTTTTTTTATTTTCTTTTGGTTTTCTAAATAACCCGACACCCCCCCCTTCATCCTCACCCCTCCCCCCTCCCCCCCCCCCCCCCCAAACACTCAGCCCAACCCGATAGAAATAAAAAAAATAGAAATAAAAAATGGCACGAAACTGGCCAGGCCAGTTCATGTTGTGTTTAGGGGGCCCGAGTCCACCCCTAGTCCAAACTAAGGCCAATATCTCAATTGTGTTTGTCAGTTTGTGTAATGTGTACTAAGGAGGCAAGGAGAGGACCAAATCCATTAGTGCCAAATAACTGCCAATCCAAACACACCCAAATGTTTTTCCATCAGGAGTTCAGGACCCGAAAACTTGAATAACCACCATGTCTAAGTGTGCAACGTAGTTTAGCCATTTTATACCTGCAAGGCTGCAAATCTGCAAAAATGGTGCATTGACTGCAATCGTTATGATGGACTGGGGCAGGCCAGCACGACCAACAGACCAAGGACCCAGCCCAGTACTGTTTAGCCCCTGTCCAGCCTAGTCAATCAGGTCCTGCAGACGGCCCGTGACCCAACCCAGGATTTAATGAGGCAGTCTATGGGCTGTGTTATAAGGTGACTGGTTCAGGACTTCAGGCCCCAATTAATTTTTTTAAATTTTTCCAGAATTTTCCCATTGGGCTGGCTGCTAGGTGGGTGCAGCTGGGCAGTGGGGGTTGGAATTCATTCAAATAGACAAAAAAAAATATTATGCCCATCCTGACCCAGTACTACCCAGGCCAGTACCCAAGCCGGTACCGGACCTGAATATTTTGGACCCAGGGATCACCGTAGCCCGGCTCAACCAAAGGTCCACCACTAAATGAGACTTGACTTCATGAATTAAATTAAAAGGATACAAATGGCATAACACATTCTTAAATATCATTACTCTGAAGAAAACTTGTAGTCAAGGAGATCTACCAAAAATGAATAGCATATTAAAGTTGCAGAATTTAAAGGATGGCTGGAACAAAGCAAAGAGTTAAAACAAACAGACAGCTGCAACACAAATTCAAATTAGGATTGGATGTTGGAGGATTTGTTAAGGATAACACCCTCATATTTGACTTGGAACCACTTCATGGCATCATCCTTTGTGACCCTGTGCTGGATTCCCACCCGAGCCTTGCACCTACGCCGGCGTGCCACTCGGTAACCAGGGCGTTCTAGCACCACAAAAAAGTCCATTCCATAAATACCTGTTGATGGATCATACCTGCAAGACGGGACAATAAAACAAAAGATGAGAACTCATTTAAAAGGATGTAAACAAATTCATGATGAGTAACACAAGCTCCAATTGAGGGTGTGCTTGACTAAATGTGGTGAATTTCCTGAGGAATTTTATGGAACATCGCACTTGCTCTGCCCCATAATGAAGATACATACGGGTTTGGCACAAGTTTTTAGAAAATAAATGATTAATGATTGCTTTACCATTCCAACCCCTAAAAAGCAAGCAGTCAAATAACTGAAGGGTAACATGATAGTAAAAGGGATATAATAGGAATGTAAAAAAGTGTGCGGAATTCAATTTGGAAAAAAGTATACTTTTATGGTATAGCTCAAAAAGGAGAGTGCATCTTACAAAATGGGAGTATTTCATCAAAATAAGTTATACTGAGTAATAATGAATATGATAGTCAAAGAACCAGCCAACTACCAAGTACTCTCTGCTCATGTAGTCCCCCCTCTCTCAACCCTACATGAAATTTTGGTCCAAAAGAAGAGTGCTGCTTTTTTGTAACATGAAATTATAAACAAAAAACAAGTAAAAGCCATGCAACTGTCGGCTCTAGTCCAAACAAATTGTACAAAGGTCTTAGATGTATAACAGGAACACTTTTCCTTAACCAAGTCAATTAAAATCAGCTGTAGCTTATTTAAACATCATATTTATAGGATAAAATGAGTATTAGAAGCATGGTGGTATTCAAACACACAATTTAAAAAGAGAGATGCCCATGTCTTACTTAATCCCAAGATCAATGTGTTCCTGGATACCAAAACCAAAGCACCCAGTGTCACTGAAGTTTCTCCTTAGCAATTCATATTCCTTGACTTTCAATCCACTCTCAAGAAGCTGCATTGCCTTATCACCTCTGACTGTAACATAGCATGCAATCTTTTCATTACGCCTGATGCCGAAGGACCTCACAGTATACCTTGCTGTCAATGAGAAAACAATAGTCAGAATTAAATTAGAACAAATAGGGAACTCTATTATAGGGAGTTAATTCACTAGTCTCTACCCTGACAGTGCTTGCATTTGATTGTGCTTGTGAGATAAGATTTATTTTATAGATCATAGAGAGTGCACTTCGCAGTGAAAAGGTAAAAGTTATGCGTTTGGTTTAAGAAAATAATTTAAGCAAAAGGTAGAAGCTATGTTTGAAGCATTATCTTGCTTACAGCTTTTAGCTATAAAGTGTTTCAAGTCAGGGAGTAGAAGCATCTTAAAAAGACTACTTATAACTATTTTTAAACCTTAGACCGCGCAATTTGTTTGAAACTGTGTAATAACAGTGCACGCAGCAGAAATAAGACAAGCCAAATAACCAAATGTGGACATGAATTTAACATTCAACCCAACAAAATACTTTTACAGATTTGAGAAAAAGTCAATACCTTATTTGAAAATAAAAAATAATCCCAGAAATTTTTGCAACAAAGATTAGTCTTTTGTAGTAATACTAGCCAATTAACAGGATGAATATCTTTATTAAGAAATAAAGATACGACAAAAGGGAAATATTCATGTTTTCTAAGAAAAAAACTAACATAACCATACGGATAACACAGGACATATGCTAAATCAATCGATTTTTCAGAACATCAAAAAAAAAAAAATCAAACTTCCAAGACAAAACAGAAACAGGAAACAAACCGCTTTAACATTTACCTTTGGAGAAAACCGGTGTCTGGCCACTGAGTTGCTCCAAGACCTTAAAGTACAGACGAAAGTTAGTTGAAATTTACGGAAACAGGATGGAGAGCAGAAGCACTGTAGATTACCTTAGCTGCTCTGGTGAGACGATCTCCACTCTCACCGACGGAAATGTTGAGGACGAGCTTTTGGACCTTGATCTCCCTCATCGGGTTGCTCAATTTCTTTTCTGATGCCTGAATTCATACATATAATTAGATGAGAAAAAACGAATGGGGATATTCATTCTTCAGTGCTAATTGGAATAACTGAATGGAAACGCAGAGAAAGGTGTAGAGGAGACCATTGCTGCCTCTGATTTTGCCGCCGCTCCTGGAGATTTTGTGAGGCTGCTGTGAGCGAAGGGAGACGAACCCTGGTATTATGTAAATATAAAGGTAGGGCTGCTTTGCTGGATCCTGGGCTCACGCGGATGCGCTGGTTCGTTTCGCTGCTTTTTGTTGATGGGCCTTCATTGGTCCTAAAGCTGGGCCCGCGTTGAGGAACACTTGGGCACTGAAACTGGGCTTTGTGGAGTGCTGTTTACCATGTGGATACGTTGCTGGCCAATAAACTTAGAAGCTGTTCCGTTCACCTGATCTGAATGTTTCTGATCTGAATTTTTTAAGTTCTGATCTGATTTGATCTGAATTTTTCTGATCTGATCTGATCTGATCTGAATTTTTCTGATCTGATCTGATCTGATCTGAATCTTTCTGATCTGATCTGAATCTTTCTGATCTGATCTGAACGTTGCTGAACTGATCTGAATGTTGCTGATCTGATCTGAATGTTTCTGATCTGATCTGAATGTTTCTGATCTGATCTGAATTCTTCTAATCTGAATCTTTCTGATCTGATTTGAATATTTCTATCATTGTAATTATAATTATAATTATTAGATTTATAATTGTAATTAAAAATACTCCGTATAACTTAAATAAAATTACAATTATAATCATAATTATAAAAAAATAATAATTAAAATTAAATTTAAAATTATAATAATTATACCAATTACACTAATTATAAATACAGATACAATTATAAATGTAATTATATTTTTAATTATGATTAATTTTATAATTATTTTTTTTGTAATTATAATTATAATATTTATCTCTATAATCATAATTATATCTATAATTACTAATTTAAATATATAATTACTCCGAAGTAATAATAATTACAAAAATAACAACAAGAACAACAATCATATTAATAATAATGATGATTATAATTATAATTACATTGTAAATCATAATTATAATTATAATTATAAATATATTATATTATATTATATCATATTACATTACATTACATTACATTACATTACATTACATTACATTACATTACATTACATTACATTACATTACATTACATTACATTACATTACATTATTATTATATTATATTATATTATATTATATTATATTATATTATATTATATTATATTATATTATATTATATTATATTATATTATATTATATTATATTATATTATATTATATTATATTATATTATTATAATATAATAATAATTTTATATTATTAACATTATTATTATATTATTATTAATAATATTATTATATTAATATATTAATATTATTAACAATAACTATAATATAATAATCATAATTAATATAATAATAAAAGTGATAAATCATGTTTGAATTTTTTGACCTGATCTGATCTGAATGTTTCTGATCTGATCTGAATGTTTCTGATCTGGTCTGATCTGATCTGAATCTTTCTGATCTGATCTGAATGTTGCTGATCTGATCTGAATCTTTCTGATCTGATCTGAATGTTTCTGATCTGATCTGATCTGATCTGAATCTTTCTGATCTGATCTGATCTGAATCTTTCTGATCTGATCTGATCTGATCTGAATAAAATAAGATTAAGGAATAAGTAATAAGATTAAGACGAACGGAACAGCTTCTTAAATTTCATATCAATTTTTTGAATTTTTCACTTATACGGAATGAAAGATATTAATAGTTAAACTTGTGCATTGACAAACATGAAAGGTTGACTGTTGCAATTAAAAAGGAACGGAGGAAATATTTTATACACCTTTTAACCAAGACTCAAGTCCTTAACATCCAAAGTGTGTGTTGGGGTTTCGGAACTACGGGACTAAGAGCATCATCAATGGGTGACGGTTGACATTAGAAAAAATAGCCTCGTCATCACAGTCTAACGTTTCGGTTATATATTTATCTCCAATGTGGTACGTTATCGACAATGTAATGCTGACAAGATAAGTAGTGGGAAAATGTGATATCACCGTCCTATGATAACATGGTTGTTCACATGTTGAGTCACCAAATCGTGGGGGAAAAATACTGCCAAAATATTTGTCAAATCTCCGATCAAAGTCATTTACGAGATAAGTAGTGGGAAAATGTGATATCTCCCACCCACTTTCTTTTTCCCCTTTTGGTTCTTCAGTAAACCTCTGGTAGATGTTCGTTAATTCCAAGAAGATATATAGAAGCTTTATCCTCTTCAGTCTTCATTTATTGCATTTAATTTCTAGTACGTTAATTAATTTCTTCCATATATTTGCAATATTTCCCTTGTTAAAAATTAAAATTCCTATCTTCTTCTCTGAAGAAAGTTTCAGAAGCAGATGTCTAGCGGCAGCACTTTTTTATTTTTTTAACTCAATAAAAATGAGAAGTAATTCTATCGCATCGGCAGTTCGGCACCACTTCTCTCAAAGAACGTTATCGAAATTATTTTTGGCGTGAAGGTATTGGGGAAGGGTTTGATCAAATATGATGTACGCGTGAGCTTTTAATAGGCTGTTAACATGAACCATTGGACATATTTTTTGGCCTTCACAGTCACGGTACACCACTCTAACATGATGTGGATGACTGTTCCATTCATTGGTTGACATGTGTCATAATTTATTTGATGTTAACGGTGACCCATTGGTGATGCTCTAAACCTCACCATTGTTTATTTTTTTGTTTTTTGTTTTTTTTACTCCAGGGGGTCTGGGGGAGGGGGCTGGGGGGAGCCTGAAGTAATCAGAACTAAAACTCACTCCATTGAATTTCACACCCTTGTGTGCCTAGCGGGATTCGAACTCGAGACCTCCCACTAGGCACGGTAACCTCACCATTGTTTATACTTTATACACCTTTTAACTAAGACTCACGTCTTTCACATCTAAAGTGTGTGTTGGACTTTCGGATCTACGAGATTAAACCTCAACATCAAGCGGATACAGCCAGCTCGAGACAACCCGCTTTATGTGCGCCGCACAGGAATGACCGAACGGCCCAATTGTCCAGATTCCATGGACTTTTACATAATGTAACATCAATTTTTTAAAAAAATATCAAACTCACCATAGATCAGCGACACACTCTAGAGGTGACGCGGTGGCGACGGCAGTTGATGGAGTATATGGCCCAGGAACCCCCGGCCCATAGACTCCTACTTCTCCTACACAAGTCCATTGAGCTCAGGAAACAACTCAGGCCCAAGTACAATGGCCCAAGCCTCAAAGTGGCCCAGAATACACACTGGGGTGCCTTCGGCTTCCTTGGCCGAAGGCTCCAAAACTCACAGGATAAGCCTTCTTTGGCACAAGAAGCTGCCGGGAGAAAACGGGCGAAAACATTAGCCTTCGGCACTACATGAAGCCCTCGGCACCAGGGGAAGCCCTCGGATGAACCAAGCCTTCGGCTACACATCGAGCCTTCGGCCATACATGAAGCCCTCGGCTACACAAGGAGCCCTCGGCTGCACAAGGAGCTCTCGGCTACACAAGTAGCCTTCAGCTGAACTAGCTCAATCATCGAAGATTCCTTTTAGAGACAGCCAACCATCGCATTTAATGCCACGTCACATCCGCCAACCGCATTCAATGCGGTAGACGTACCACTGCCGGTGCCAACCGGCTGATGCGACCCGTCGGCCGTTGGATTACTGACACGTGTCCTCTTATCGCATTTATTGCTGCTATAAATAGCAGCCCTTATTCTCCTTGTAAATCACGGATCGACATCCCAACTCCACACGCTGAGTTCATTTAATAAAATCGACTCTCTCTCCTCCTATTTTGCTCTGACTTCTCTCTAAGTTATTCCCGCAATAACCCCTCGGATAAGATACCCCCCGGGTAGACTATCCATCATTTGGTGCTCTCGTTGAGAGGTCTGAACTATCAAGTAAGAAACCCTCCCCCTCTACCACACACGAAACGCTTACCAAAAATGGGAAGAACCACCCGTGCCCAGTCCAAAACCCTTGAGGAAAACTACGTAGCCCCCGGCGAAACTAACGGGGCTGAGGCCTCCAACAGGCTCTTAGTACCCGAGGGTGGTGTCATCCTCGAATTAGAGCAGGCCACCGCTGACCTACATCAACAGCTGCAGAAGAACACCCCTGATGCCCGCATTGGCCTTGATAATCGAAGGAGGGATCGGAGTGAGAACCAAGTTCCCCCTCCGGCCCCGGCCATCGATCTTCAGGCTGCCTTTGCGGCCTTTGTTCAGAACATGGCTCTCAATTCCGGAGCCCTCGCCTCTCAGGCACCCCTCCAACCCTACGCTGGAGGGAATGTTATTCAATTACCACCGCTCCCCCCTCTGTTCAACAATCCTCCCCCGGGGGTTGGGAACGCCGAAGGGGTCATGGCGCAGGACACCGCCTCCCAAGAGGCCCAATCCAGGGATAAACGTCCCTTGATGAAGGAGAAACCCCGGACCTCTGCACTTGAGGGGCTTGGGGGAGCTCCCATACGCCGAGGGGTCCAAGACCGTCTCGGCAAACAGGAATTCAGCAAGCCTCAGGAGAGCGGAGCCTCCGCTTCGGGAGCCGAGGGCATACCCCCGCCCCGGAGCAGGGGCAAAGCCATCCTCCATGCCGATGACGCCAGACACCAAATCAATCAGGCGCAATCCTTCCGGGCCAACTCCCAAGGGGTTGCTCCGAAGGATCCCAAGGACGAAATCATTGAAGCCCTCCTCCGTCAACTCGAGGAGAATCGTCAGGCACCCCCGACGGCTTCCACGGCGAGGCCAGATCCAGAGTACGCTGAACTCCGGGCGCAAGTGGAGGAAATGAAGCGTAAGCTCGCCGAAGGTTCAGGCGAGCCCCTCATTCAACTCCGCACTAGAACCCCCTTCACCCCAAGGGTGCTGGCGGCCAAAATCCCCCATAAATACCGGGGGCAACCCATCAAGCCGTATGAAGGGAAGACGGATCCCCAAGAGCATTATAGCCGCTATCAAAATAGCATGATGATGATGGGGGCATCGGATGAATACTTATGCTGTTGGTTCCTTTCCACCTTGGAAGGACCCGCGTATGAGTGGTTCAACCGGTTGCCCGAAGGCAGCATTGATTCTTGGCAAGAACTTGCCCACCGCTTCCTTACACAATTCGCGGGAAGGCACCGCTC